CAAAAAAAAAAAAAAACAAAATGATTTCATTGATTTCGAAACTTCACCAACTACTATTTCACAGTTTCCTCACTCAACAAAAGATGCAACTGCTACATCTAGCCTCACTTCTAAGTTTGTAAGTGTCACAAATTAAACAAATAATACTTTATATCAAGTATAAAACCAAATGACGAATGAAAAGTTAAGAGGCTCAGTGCACAAAACTTTTATTTGTTCTTTAAGGATAATAACATTACTCTGCATAACTAACATTTAACACAGTAAAAAACCACACATAACTTCACAAACACTTCAAAATAAATTACGGTATCTCATCAAAAGAAGGGGCAGAATAAATGTAAATCCATCTCATGCCATTTGCGAGAGTAAGAGCACTTAAATCCGAGAAATCAAATTAACCTGTGAATTTAATTCATGTTGCAAGATTTTGTTTTAGTAATAACATAGATATGGGCCAATCAAATATCATGGTTAACCATTAAATGCTTAATCAAATTAAAGTATGTTCCAAATATCTTACTGTGATTGGCCCCGAGAGAAGAAAAATGGTTCTCGTGATCTCTTATACCAAATTATCAAAGTTTTAATAAGTTAATAAACATCTTTCAAAGTAAAATTCAGATTAGGGTAACCATTTACACTTTGAGTCACCTTAGTGCTTGTGGAATTAACATAACATACAGCTTTAGAACTATGATAAGTCTGGTAGAACAATTGTTACCCCACGACAAATAGGCACATTTTTCAAGTTTCCACCAGCTTAGATTAGTCATAATCGACGAACGACCACGAAATGTATACAAATTAGTGGCTTCAACTTCATCAAAAACTAATGAAGCTAAATACAATCAAACAAATCACTACTTGTCAAGAGAATTCTAAAATCAGTAGTGGGCTGATAAAGGTCATTTGTTGCTGTATGATGTATTGCTAGATAAAATAGTCTAAGATATCATGAACCACGATGAACTAGTGAGCCTCAATATGTCAAGTACAGGACAAATATATTAGATTGAATGTAGATAGAGTAAAAGATGTGGAATAAATTTCAAGAGCACAAGTTAAATTACCCAAAATGCCGGCACAATGTGGACCTGATAAAAGCAAGCCTCGTCGGGTTCATCACATGCAACGGCTTAAACGGACCTTCAGCATCCCACCTAATACCAATTCAGTAAAAATCAAATGAATTAACAAAGTATCACCAAATTAAACTTGAGAAATATTAAAATCCAAAAAGAAACACACCATGTCCCAGAAATTGCGGCAAATTTTTGTAGCTCAGCGTCATTCAGAGAGCTCTTTGGATTTGAAGTGGAGGCTAGCGGAGAAGAGAAAGCCGGAGCGACTGGGGGCGGTTCATTTGAATAATGCCTGCTTTGGAGCTTATGAAGAAATTCGGAATAGGAACAGAGATTTGTGGGTCGTGCGCGTTGACAAAAGGGTCGAGCTAGGATACGGATTCCGGTTAACAGATGCTTAGGAACCATTGTGGCAACTGAAAGAGAAGCCAGAGATCATCTGAATTGAGCGGTTTTATTTATGTGGGCAGGTTTGATTTATAGATTTGCTAGCTCTATCTTCAAAAGGTTCCTGTAAATTTTTTGATAACCTCTTCATTTTGACCATTCAATTTAAAAATATCATCACTGGCATCTGAAAGATATATCTCTTATAAGCTCTTACATCACATTCACTCGAAGTCGCTTCATTTGTTCTCTCTGCCTATTGCCTATTTCTCTCAGGTGGCTTCTAACAATGATGAATTTTTCAGGTCGATAAACAAAATTAGAATGACCTCATGTAAAACAATAGAAGGAGAACACACGGGACCATGGCTTCTCTCATGAGTTGCAATAGAAAGCACACAACAACCAAAGCAAAATGCAATAAACTGATGGTGATAAATTAGTAATGATTATTGCTACATCAGTAGCTATACCAATACCATATGTGAGCCAAGAAATAGAGGTGTCCGTAACTTCAGGATTTTAACAAGTTTTCAGTAGAGTTGACAGAAATATGGGAGGAAGAAGAGAACCTATGTGAAATCTCTACTTTTTTTTCAAATATTACAAAAGCCCCTGAAACTGAAACCCAAAGGTTTATTTTTTTCACCCAAAATTCTGAAAAGGGTATTTTTCTCAACTATAAGAAAATCAAAACGTCGGCTTCCATACCTCAACTATGATTATGCGGTGTGGTGGCTCAGTTTTAGGGCTTTTGGATTTCAAATTTAATCAAGCTTTGTAGCGAGAAAAATACCGGTCGAGGCCTTGCCAACGATTAGAGCCCCGGGCGTTCAGCGATGAGAAGCAGACAAGTTGCTGCTACTTCGGTCAGTCACGGCTAATGGTTGCGGTGGGACTTTCAAAGTGGACTATGGGTATTCATGTCGTCGATGTCGGCCTTTGAAATTGTCGATTGAGCGACGTCACCATTGACCACGGGGACGAGTTTCTAAACTGAGCTCCACGATTTTCTGTTTCAGTGCCGGAGATGGATATCTTCTCATCCGAAGTGTGTGCAGCGATGAGGGGTGAAGAGGAATCTGAAGGCGACGAGAGTTTCGGCGGTGAGAGGTGACAAATAAGCTGGTTTTTAATAATTGTATTAGTTGTTTTTACCAGCTAATTATATCATTGATTTATAAAAATATATTTGATAAAATTAGATGTTTGTTGTTAGTTATTAATATATAATCATATTTAATGGCAGAATTACCTTAAAATCATAATTACCTTAAAATATCAATTATTGTTATTTACAATCATAATTACCTTAAAATATCAACTATTGTTATTTAAAATATCAATTACCTTAAAATATCAATTATTAATTATAATTACATTAAAATATCAATTATTTACATATTTAAAAAATTAAAAATTAATTAATAATAATAAAATGGCAGAATTTTTTTTTTTCCTTTTTTGCCTTGAATATTTGAAATGAATAGTCAAAGACTAACTAAATAAAAGTTTTAAAATAAATAATGACATATTCTTCATGCTATAATATTGTTATTTACAAATAGGAAAGAATGAATACTTCACACTCAACACAAAAAAATATATATAAAAAAAAAAAAGAAAAATGAAATGAAGGCTTGATAGTATCCGGACATTTTTAACAATATGAGCTAATTAATACTTTTCACTCTACATAAAAAGAAAAAAAAGGGCCAATTTCCAAGCATTTAAATCACATAATTACATTTCCCAATTATAATAAAAACACTAATGTGAAACGCTGCAAGGAGTAGCGTTTCCAAGTTTGGCGTTTTGGATAAAAATGCTCCATCCATAAGCTAATTTACCAAACATATGTTTTTAGTGGCTCAAATTGTCAAAGAAACTAATTTTGGTCAAAAAACTAAAAATTGGCCAAAACGCTATTATTCAAACAAAATAATAAATAAATAAAATTGCAGGGTATAAATGAAAACAAAACAAAATAAATAATAAATAAAATTACAGGGTAATTTGGTAATTCAAAGAAATGCCACGTGTCAAGTTCTAGAATGCTCATATTTTTTCTTATATAAAAATTCTATGAAGTCATCCACTACTTAATGTATCTGTTCAAATTGTATTTATTGCAGGACACATGTCAATACATTATTGGTTAATAAGTGTAGATGACTCCATAGCAAGACTGTATGTATATATATCAGTGTTTTAAAACGCGCATAGCGCATCGCGTCGCGTTTTGGTCCTGATATTGCGTAGCGTAAATAGCGTAGCGCATTGCGTAAACTATTCGAGTAGTTCACTTTAAATGCCAAAAATAATAATATATATAACCATACAAGTAAATAAATAATCAAAATAGTCTTAAACCATAAACTTAGACATTAAATCTAAATAACAAATTCAAATATTTGCATATTTCCAGCCGATATCTCTATTTGTCGTCATTTAAACTGAAAATAGGGAAAAAAAATCATTAACACAAAATCATGCTTGTTCACAAATCACAATAATAATTGCATATTTGACAATAATCACAACATAACACAACAATAATATCTTCACTCTTCAATTATTTCAGGATCCCATTTTCTTAGCCTTAATGATAATTGATAAACAACAATAAAAACATTATTTGATGCAAATATTCCAACCGTATTTCTAATATACTTTAGTTTACTATACTAAATGCTTGAAGAATGTAGAAAAGCCTGAGAGAAGTTCAGTTCTTACTGTGTTGAATACAACATTAAATTGAAGATTTATACATAGCAAGTAGATACTGTAGATACTGCCTAATTTATCTAATTTGCAGCCCATTTTTGCATTAAAAACAGAGGGTTTTGATAGAATCCGTACAGCAAATGCAATCACATTTAGGCTCAACAAATTAATAATTCTTCAGTACTTAGGCCATATCTCCCGAATTCAATGCAACTATATGTAGATTGTTCCTTTTCACTTTCTTCTTTCATAAAAAAAAAATAAAAAATTTACAGCAAGCTCAGTTAATCATTTGCAATTCTTCCAATAATTATCCAATAACACTAACTGATTCAATGGCAGCAGTGAATCATATATGAATTACATAAATGCAATCCTCAAAACAGCAAGCTCAAGCAATCATTTGTCTCTCAGTCTATTAATTTAGTAAATAATCAGTCCAATTAAACAAAAAATCGAAATAATCAAGTGAATGAAGAAGAGGCCCAATTTCAATTCCACTTCAATTTCATAGTTTCCAATGAAAAAAAAATGTTACCTTTAGAGTGGACACAACTATGCAATGGATGTCGGCTAGAGAGAGCCGAGGAGCAGACACTTTGGGCGTGCCGAGATCCGAGCGAGAGGCGAGAGATAACGAGAGCCGAGGAATTGGAGAATGTTCTGAGAATAAGCTTGTGAGGAGGCTGAGATGGAGACGTGGAGGCAGCGTAGTTCCTACTCTCGCCGGGTTGTGGTGGGCGGTGGGCCGTGGAGGTGCAGTGGGTGTTGCGGTGGAGAGGAGGCTGAGAAGGAGATGAAGAAGATGAGTGAACGTCTGAACTCGAGGGTTTTTTTTTGTGAATGTGACGCTGGCAGCAGATTTTAGTTTTCTTTTCTATTTTTTTTTTATTTTCTGCTTATATAAAAAGTGAACACAAATAGCGTCCGCTACGTACGTTTTAGCGTAAATGGCGTAGTTTTCGCGCGTATAGCGTGCTACGTCATCTAACAGCGCACGCTATTGTGGAACTACGTGATTTTTTGAGCGCTACAGCGCGTTTTTGTCGAAATATGCGCTATTTTGCGCGCGCGCTTTTTAAAATACTGATATATATAGATATATCCATGTCCTTGTTTATTTTTATTGTATGAATGCATTAGAATGATTCCAAAATAATAGAACGACTTTTATATGTCAATAAAATTGAGGACAAAACATTTTAGGTGGACACCATAGACATAAAATAAACTAATGTAGCTTGAAACACCTTAAAGTTGATAACAAATTTTGTCAATCCACACGAATATTAATCACATTACGGGTTAGTTTGTGGATAAAATGATCGCGTACTGAATATTAAAAATAATGGTGTAATCTCACTTATGTTTAACTATGTCTATGTAACACCCTCCATTTTTATGCATACAATGAACTTAATATCATTTTCTGAGTGGTACTAGTTTATAGAGTGATGTGGTGACTCTGGTCAATCACAATAAAAGGACGAAACCTTTGAAAAATAAACAAACACCACAAAACCAATTTGTAGAATATTCAAAAATAACAAAATATAGGTTTAGCCATGTACTTTCGCTATTGATGTACGGAGTACGATGTCTATCATACAAAGACCCTGTAATTTTGCCACTCATAATCAATCATTTTTAGTTTAATGAATGACAAATTTGGAACATCGCTTCCAATTTACTTCTACTAGTCTCTTTTTTTTTTTTTATTTAACCGGTTCAATTTACTTCTATTAGTCACCACAAATGTATGAACAATTCATACATCAAGAAAAAATTATGTGGGACTCTTTGGTTTTATTTGATCATAATCTACACATTGATTGGGCGTAGAAATAAAAAGATGTTGACAATCGATTTCGTTGACTCTTGCTGGATGCTTTGAGAACGTCAACTCACAGGCATATAAAAATTTTCACAAGTTATAGAAGTATCAAGAATTGATAAAATTCTATTTCTGAAAAGCTCATTCTCTTCTGAGGGATACATGGAAAATGATCAATATTTCATGTGGTTAAAGGCCTCTCTCTCTCTCTCTCTCTCTCTCTTTTTTCCTTTTTTTTCAGGAGCATAGTGCATTACAAGTCCAGTAAAATATTGATGCAAGTCGCATACAAACTAACTAGATCAGATTCTATACAAGAGTCTACCACGAGCAAAATTGGGGTCTGCTGATTACACCTAGAAAAACTGGGACGAACAAATACAGGAATTAATTAGTCAAAACTATGATTTACTGAAAATAAATAGATGGGATATTGGATACTTTACCTTTACTGTGATGGGGAGGTACTGAACTTTCTCGACATTCCTGGTCACGAGTTTTCTAGCAAGATAAACTTTCATCAGCCATCAATCAACATGAAAATTTCCTAATTTCGGGAAAAAAAATGTCTGTTATTTCAGAGCGCCGTTTGAGTTTTCACGCAGTAATTATCCAAGTGAATCTAAGCTGAAATTTGGCTTTACAATTATTTGACACTTCTGACTTGCAACAAGTGTCCAGCATCTGAAGCATTCATCTTCATCTTTTCGGAAGCTTCCTTCTCCGCCTTCTTCCTCTCAAACTCCAGCTGTTTGCAGTTCTCTTCTTGGGCTTTCTTAAACATCCTCACAAAGTTGAACAAAGTTGAGATCACTGCAAACATTTTGTATCAAATTAAAACCTCATCTCAAATCACGGGAAAAAGAAAGAAATGACAGACAACAGTCCTCACACTACACTTTAGCTTTTTACTATTCCCCGGTCGCACAATCATATGAATGCCACAAGTAACAGTGAAGGAAACTAAAAACTACCTTGCTCGAACGGACAGCGAGCTGGGTCCTCACCAAAATAAAGGATCAGTGAGTCTACATTTCGTCCCTGCATAACAATATTGTTAGATAGTCTCATTAAGTGACCGTGCTTCGGTAATATAATACGCAAAAATGCATTTTTAGTCCTGTTGGTTTAATGCCATAGCAATTTTAGTCCCAATGTTCTAACTTTTCACCTTTTGATCCTAATATTTTGTTGCAATTTTTAATGACTCAAATTGCAACAAAATTTTAAATTACACGACTGAAATTGCAACAAACTTTTTTATTATAGGAATTAAATTACTAATAAAAAATCTATAAATTTGGGAATTTGAGAACTAAAATTGCAGTAAAATATTAAATCACAAGACCAAAAGGCGAAATGTTAGAATCTTAGGACAAAAACTGCTATGACGTTAATACTTTATTAGATAATAAAGTTGAGACTAAAATATATCTAAATAATAAATTTTAATAAGTAAATTATAAGACTTATGGAAATTACGGTTGATAATTGTTATTTATTATTATTTACTCATCATAGATAAATTATAATTATTATATAATGATAATATGTTAAAATAATTATTATAAATAATAAACAATAAAGGCCAAGTCCTTGACTCTATTCCCGATCCGATGGTCGGGCAAGCGGCAGGACTAAAAGTGCAATTTAGCCAATATAATATAATAATATTCATTGATTCCCTAAGCTGATCCTAAAGGCAACTAATACATACCACTCCAGCATAAAGTGAAGCCAAGCACCTCACTTCACCTTCCGAAAAACAAAGGAATTCTTTCAAAGCCTGTAATTAAACTCTGTTATAATAAGAATCTTAAACAAGCACAGAAAATAAACAAGTATACTGATGTCAGCTTAGTAACTGCTCTCTTTCTGTAAGCCTGTTGATATTCTTTGTAAATGGGTACTCATATGTAAACGCACCACACCCACGCACACAATGAAAAAGAACAAGAATAAAAAGTAGAGAAAGAGGAACACTTGACAGCGAGTCCCCACTAGATGGAATCTCCTTAATAAGAATAATAAGATACTGAAATAGATACAAAAACACTTGAGAGCTTCACACACTAAGAAATTCCTTAAAGTAAAGAGACAAGTAACCAAAATAAGTACAATGCACTATACTTAAGTTTTAAATCAGACAGGGTCAGATGTTTGCCCAACAATGCAAAGAGACGCAAATAATATCATGTGCATTCAAGCAAGCACAATAATTCGATAGCATCCAGAAACTACCTTCCGGAAATGGTCTGACACGGGTCCATCACTTTCAGACATGGACAACTCCTGCATGACCTTTTCAAGCCCTTTATTAATCGCTTGCATTTCCTCAGCCAAATATTTCAGTTGAATCTGAAAGAATTTCTCTTGGCCAAGTTAATATTTAGTTTTACTTTCCAAAAATACCCTCTAAGTTAATGATTTTTAGTTATTACGACTTCATTTTATTGGTAACCATATAAATTAAGGGAAAACCAAAATTAACATTTTAAATACTTCGTTCAAAGTAACAAGCTTATCTTTGTGGGTCACTCGAGATAGTAATGCGGCTCATATTTATGGGACAGATGGAATACAAATAAAGAAATGCACCTTTGATGCAGGTTCCAAGCTAGACAGATCTTTCCAAAAATCAAGAAGCTTGGGCAATTTATCTGAAAGCACCTGGGGTGAAAGACAAACAAGGAGAAGAAGAGTTCAGAAAATACTTCATTCATAAAGTATTCTATGGTATAACCAGGACCAAGGTTTAAGAAAAATGCTATAGGTACATGATCATGTATATAGAGGTGTACATAACACTCACATGGAGTGTGTCCTACCAAAAATAAAAAATCAAGTGGACCCTACTCCATGTGAGTGTTATGTACACCTCTATGCTGAAGTTTAATCAATTAGACAGACTAATAATCCATCCAATGAAGCTAAGTTGTATTCATAATTGTTATCCTTTCGCAGAGTAACAAGTTACTGATGTTTTACAATCACCACAATCATGCTGCATGCATCTTATTCAGTGATTTGAGGTGACAAGATAAGATACAGACGAAAGGAGAAGAGATGGGAATTATATATTAGGTATTGGTATTGATAGAATCCATAAGCAACCACTATAAATTGAGGTTCCGTACATGTAACACGGGAGAAAACCAGTATTTGCAGTTTCTTCAAGTTCAGATCACATATGGTATAGATAACCTAATCTTAGCAAGTTTATATTTGTTGCAAAGAATATCCCTAAAATTACAATGTATTATCTGTCATAGATTTCATTCAAAATTGCAACCAGTGACTCAGTTTTCAATTCTACACTGCAAACCAGTGGGAAAAAACCCTTTGCCAGGAAACATATAATACCTATTTTAACTTAAAATGCAATGGGATCTTTTATATAATAAATTATGATATTACATATTCGGCAGAAATAGGACGCAAAAGATATGAATACCTACCTTACAAAGATAATGCATCAGTGTCATCTTGTTGTTGCGGGCACGAGTTTCGGTAAGTTTGAGGAGACTATCCAACCTGAACCCAATGGCAGAGCCTGCCACAACAGATTAGGAGAGAGTAAGACTCTGGGCAGCAGTAACATACATCCAAATAAAGAGAAAAAACTGGAAGTTCACAACATTATTATGAAAATGTATGTGTTGGAATGTTATTTCTCACACACAAAGGTTAAGAAAATGTATGAGTTGGAATATCACTCGAGTTGTCCCACATTAATTAAGTAGGGAAATTGGGATTAGGTTACAAGCCTAGTGAGGTACTCACCCCTACACCAAACCAATGGAACCTCACTAAGGTGACAACTATGCTTGCCCTCTTATGGTGCGCTTCATCCCTATGGGACCACACCCCTTCCCCCAAATATATAAAAATCTAAAAGTATGAATTACTAATATTAGTTTAGAATGCCCAAATAAAATGGGTTGTAGATTGTTGTAAATACTTACATAGGTTTTCAAATTAAGAATTGGAAAGAAGACAAGAGAAGCTTTAATTATTTCTTTACCTTCTCACTGTTCCTTTATTATGTTGTAAATCCGAAAAGGATTCACAAAATTGAGCAGAAAAATTTGGAATTAATCTCTGTAATAGGTGATGATGATTTAATTGCAGACACTTCACATATTTAAATAGAAATAATGATGCCAACAAGCTTTACCATGTTGGCTGCACATAATAAGCATGAAATTCAAAGATAAATTTCATGCTTGATTTATAACTTGGTCAAACATTTTATTTTGCTTGAACATGATACTAATGAAAACCAAAATAATTAGGAACATAAAAAGGGAAGACTGGAGAACATGATGTCAAAATGGCACAAGAAAAATTTAACTAACCTCTTGCAGTTCCCTGGTTCAAAGCATTACCCAGAGAAAGGATTGTTTGCATAATTCTTTTCAATTTTGCAGAACCCCTGATCTGATGAGAAAATGATAGAAAAGATGAATATTATATCTTTATGGGTGCTAGAATAGTCATAAATAACAAACAGAAAAAGCAAGTTGCCTGATCTGCAGCAGAATTGACAACATTCAGGCTCTTTCTGAGGTCCGAAACCTGAAAGAAGACAGAAGGATGAAATTTTCTTACTAATATACATAATAAGATTTGGAAAATGGTGAAGTCATATAGTAAATTCTAACCTGGGAGTGAAACTGAATCTTAAATGAGAAAACCCTCAACTTATATTCTATCCGTGGTACTTGCATCAACTCCAGAAAGAACTGAGATAAAAACAAGAGTCATGACTTTTAACAACAAAGTAACCTGTCTCGAAACATTGCCATCAGGATTAAACAAATGGTCAACCAAATCAAGACAAAGTTTACGTGCCTGTTCACACTTTCCTAACTTATCTTTCTCTCCTTTATAACCCTGGAAACAAAAATAGTTAGTTAGATGTCAAAATGATATTTTTCGTGTTTTTCACTATAGAAATGAACACAACGTTTAAAAATAATACGTTTTAGTTGTCTTAGTGCGTAAAGAACAACGCACCTTAAGAAGGTCCATCTCCTCTTTTGTAGGACAAAACTTGATAAGGTTGTCAACTTGATCAACATCTAATGCAGTGTCTTCCAAAGCAAGGACTGAACTCTGTCAAAGTACCACAAAATTACACTACAAGGATTAAAACCAAACGATACTAAGAATAATATCTCCAGGAGGATTAATTTATAAAGAAACGAGCATTATGTAAGCAGAATCAGATACATTAAATAATTCACAAAAAGTCATGAGTAAAATTGTCACAGGAACATTAATTATCATGCCTGACACTTTCAACAATAATCATCTATGGCCCCCCTTGAAAGAATGCTAAAATAACTAACAACATATAGTTGAGCTCACCAACATGTCACTCAACGGTATCTTTACTTTTGAAAGCATGATTTCACAATTGTATGCACGCCTGTGGTCTATCTGAAAAGAGAGAGAATAAATGATGTAAGTATCAGTGTCAGTGACATCACAAAAAACCATACCTCTATGGTACAAAATAAAAGGAATTAACACAGAAATTAGGGATACAGATACATGAAATGTGTCATCCATCATAAAGAGAAGCTCATGTACAAGCTTTTTTTTTAAAAAAAAAGAGGATCAATAGTGGTTCCCCACTTACCCCCTTGGGTGACTCGAACTCGCGACCTATTGGTCCGAAGTGAAGGGTGCTACCAACTGAGCTACCCCTTCTCATCAGCTCATGTACAAGCTTATATATGACACATCGCACAAGGAAAAATAGGCCATTTGCCTGTACTATTTTCTCTGAAGTTATAACTGCCGACTGAAATTTCACCGCACAACACTTTCTATTTACATTCAACATAAAATTCCAAGTTCTGCTGTGGCTTCTATGCATATATTGATAGTTATATGAGGCATGCAACAATAAGAAGTGTTTTGTACTGAGGCAGAATAAGTTACACTTGTTGGGTTTTTTACCCTTCAATTCTGAGGGAATAAGATGTGGAAAAGACATGAAGGAAAAAAACAATAAACAAAATCACGGGCTTGTGTACAAGATTTTATGTTAAGAAGCACATGGATCTCATTGGCTACACTGAGTTGCATCAAGATGTAATATAATGTAAAACCAAACAGTTGAATGATATTTATTAGGTCTATATTATTTTAGTAGAACAAAAAATTTTGCTCCCAACTACACACCAATGAGATGGAAACATCGTAAAAAAGAGGAGAATTTAGCGCCTGAGCACACACTATGTGAAGAAAAAAATCCAATAAATAATAGAAGGAAAAAAATTAAAAGATCCTAGAAAAAGCGGATCGAGGTATTGAGGGGTACTGTAATACAAGTACATTTTCAGACAATGATTATGCTATGACCACTAAGTAAGAAATTCAAAACTCATTACTACACAAATGCTGTCTGTGGATACATGTATGATGATATAAAGAAATGAAAGGCGCAAGAAGTTACCAGTTGCACTTTTTCAGGTTTACCCACTGAGCCTAGTGTACCAGTTTTTCTGCCTGAACCCCCTTGATCTGAATTTGGAACAGCAGCAGAGAATAGAGATTCAAGTTCTGAAATATCAATCTCCGGTGCCCTAAAAGGGGAAAAAAGAAAAAAAAAAAAAAAAGATAGACAAATAAGAAGTTCTACAAATAAAAAAAGGATATGCAAAATTAGATTGCTTCATTCACCCAATTGATCAATACTTACCTAGAAGCTTCAGATTTTTGCGTCTCTGCCCACAAGCTGCCAGAAACTGCTCTTGATAGTTTTAACCAATGTAACGGCTTCAGTTTCTTCGATTGACTCCGTGAAGTCTGAGTACGAGACAATAAACTTTTCCCTGCGGCTCCAAGTGGAGGAGTTGAAGGCGGAGGAGGAGATGGAGATCCAGGCATACTAGTACCTTTGTTGCTGCTAGACGGAACAGAATTTGACAAACTAGCTGGCTCTCTGGGGGAAAGGAGTGGAGGCGGAGGAGCAAAAGGAACAGATGGAGGACCACTCATGCTGAGGCTAGGGTTAGGAGGCGGAGGTGGTGGAGGTAAAATTACTGAATTTGTAGGTCCTGCACTCTGGCTAGAATGTGGAGGAGGAGGAGGAGGAGGAGGAAGAGGAGGCCCACCTGCTACAGACACTTCTCTAAAAGGCATTGGAGGAGGAGGTGGTGGTGGGCACGGAGCAGGTTTCGCGTTCAAACTAATCTTCAAAGGTGTTGCTCGGGGAGAAGCAGCCAGCCCAGAAGGTGGAGAAGAGAGCTCTTCTCCACTAGACCTCTCCTTGGGTGTCTCTAGAGGAGGAGGAGGTGGAGGTGGAGGTGTAGGTGGAGCAGGTCTGGCCATAGGTGGAGTCAAAGGCGGGGCAACCAGTCCAAAACTTGGAGGAGGTGGAGGTGCGGGTGGTGCAGGTCTGGGGACGGAATTATCTCTCAAAGGAGGGGTCAAAGGAGGTGGAGGTATAACTCCAGAAGCAGAGTGCTTCTCCAAATGGGGTTCCGATGGAGCTGGACCACAAGGTGATGGAGGTACTATAGATGGGGGCGCACCTCTGAGAGATGAAGGCTCATTAGGCGGTTCAAAAGGAGGTGGAGGCAGAAGCGGAGGCGGAGGAGGAGGTGAAGGTCTCTTAGCCGAGCTTTCTGACAAGCGTGAGTCAAATGTAGCAGGAGGCGGAGGCCGAACTTCAGAATCTAAGTTCTTGTTCAAATGAGAGGCTGGCGTAACGAAAGGTCCAACTGGAATAGGAGCAGATGAATCGGTTAAAATTTCCTGAATCGGAGTCGCATTAGGTGGGGTAGGAGGCGGGGGAGGATGAGGCACAGTTCTACGAGTGATGTCTGTTTCGAGAGAGGAAATATGAGGGGGTGATTGGCGCCCAGTACCTTCAATAACATTTAGGAAAGGTGACTTAGTTGTTGTGGAAGAAGGAGATTCGGATGTAGCAGTATGTGGAGATAGAAGTGGTGGAGGGGGAGGAGGCGGTGGGGAAGTGGCAACTTTGGCGGCTCCAACAGCATCTTCAGTTGAATGAGGGGAGTCGAGTTGAGATAGCCTAACCCTCACGAATTTCTTATGGGATATTCTAGGAGAGACAACTGCAGAGTCCTCTTTCAGAGAAGTTGCCTCCAGTGTAGATGGATGTTTTCTGTTGCCAATATCAGCGATTTTTGCTGGAGGAAGTGCGGGAGTTGAGGGAGAAGTTCTAGAATGTGATGTGTCAGCTTTACTTTGTTGAGCAATGGAGTTGGACTGTGAAATTGAAAGTTGATGAGGTAGCAAAGATGATGGGAGTGAAGAAAGATCTGCCGAAGGAATAAGGGTTTGCTTTTGAGATGGGATAGTCACATTTTGGGAGTGGGGATCATCCTGCTTTCTCTCCATATCTGCACTTGCGGACATTTCCGGCAAGAAATTAGAACGGTTGTCTGAAGGCAAATCTGGTGTGCTCTTAGCAACAGTTTTAACACCTCGTGCAGCTAGGCTCTGGTTCACCTGATATGTTTCAGTTTGAGAATAAGCTTCAACAGATATCTGTTGGAGAACTTCAACAGTGGCATCGCCCTTTGGGACTAACCAATCAACACTATTAAAAAATTCTTGAACTTTAGCAAATGCCTCGACAGGAAGGCCATCTTTCTCTTCGAAGCAGGAAGAGTCCACAGGGGTTACAGAGGAAACAGAATCCATCTCCGAGAAAAGAACCTTCATTCACATAACAGTTTTAGTTAGTATAGTTGAGCCATCGATGAACTGAGAAAACAACAATGTGCAATTTATCAAAGATGTCAGAGAGCCATACCTCTGCCCTGAAGTCCTTGGGAAATAGATCCTTCGCATCCCACGATATGTCAATTTCATCTCGATTGAGCATTAAAATATTTGACCTGATAAAAGCTGTGTTAAACATGGCCCGGAACATCATGACTTCCCGATCTTTGTCGCCAAGCAAGCAGATACATTCCAGTACAACATCACCTTGAATGTGGCAATCAATGTCAATCTTTACCAATTCACATTCTGCCTGACAAACAAAATAAATGTGGGAAGGAAGACTGTTATTACCAACATCATTAATATGAAGTATGTACATACAAAATCTCATATTGAATTAATAAAATAAGACGCCATAGAACTTATGTTTGCACAAGTTGTGGAGCAGGAGGAGAGAAAGAATGGAGTCACGTAGGAGACCGGGTGGGGGGAGCGCCCACCAATATGTGTTTAGAAGAAAACATGTAAAATATGAGATCAAAATGTTGCTTCTCTAGAAAAGGAACACCAATTTCAGTGGAAATCAAAAGATTAAACCTTAAGCTTAGTTGATTTGATCCTCATAGCTAAAGAAACTATTTTGATATTTTACCTTTTCACCCCCATGAAGATCAATAATTGTTTTCTACATTGAAAAGTTTGTTCTGCATTTATTGTTGTTCAAATAGTAGGGATTTAATGAGTTTATCATGCAGAAAGCATAGCAGCGGTTTAGCTATCATTTCTGACTATATTATGGGATAATATCAATCCCAAGACTATTAGCATCAGAAAAGGCCTTTGGAGAACCAGATACACTTTAGACAACTTGATCTCTATTCACAAATAGAATTGTGAAAAGACCAAATAGTTCTGAGCTTTCTTAAGAGCATACAGTAGATAATATCACATCCAGAACATTTTGAAGCAGATTAGACAGGAAAATCTGTATTCCCGACCAGATATGACCCATGCTAACATACTAAAATGCATAGGCTCTGCAATTGGAAATAAAAATATTTTTGTCTTGTCTTGCCGGATATTTTTTTGAGATTGAACTCAAAATCCAATCTTCATCTAACCCAACTTAACTTTCCCCAGATCAACATAAATAAATAATAAAAACCAATCATTACACACAATAACAAAATTCACTATTCATCCACTGACATATTTTTACTACCAATCGTTAACAATCATTATTTTACTATTTTTATATCATATCAATCATTACATTTTAACTCATATCCACTCACAAACTCAAAAGCAAATCCAAATATCCACCCAATCAATTTTTTTCAATTTTAACTCACTTTATCCAATAAATCAAATCCACTCCAAAAAAACTTATTCCCACACTATTCTGATTTGGATTCTCTAGATTCTAAAGAGTTTCTTACAGGTTTTTAAAGTTGTGGCTTGCTATCTTAATAAGACTTCCAACGAAGCATGCATGTAAACTGCACCTGGACGCAGCCATCAACAGGTTCCTTTTGTATATCAACTGGTAGAACCACCATAAGCAACGCCATAAATAATATTACATTGCACTATACATTAATCAGTCAGAATGTAAGTTTGTTACATTAATCAATGTCAACTAGAGCTGAGCCAACAACAAATCCACCTCTGCTCACCAATAAAAGTATTTTCACTTAGATGGAATTCTCTTCCAGACTTCCTTACTACAATTGACAACCAAATTGAATATTACTTGCTACTATTAACAACAAGTCTTGAATGTTGACTGAAATACCAACAACTGATCAACCTCCTGTTACCAGCAAAAAATACATATGTTTTCTCAAGCGACAAATATATGAACGTGTTACAGATCATAAACAACTCACCTGCTTGTAATGTCGAACAGCTCTACTCTTCTTTGGAGTTGAAAATAGAACCTTAGGTGTACGGTCAGACGCTTGGCGAGGATCTTGCCCATAGATACGAAAAATTGGCCTGCATCCACCTTCTCCATCGAAGTTTGGGATTGTTCTAATAATGACACAATCCATTGTGAGATCCCTGTCTAATGGGGGCCACTCTGTGGCGACGTTCCTTCTCGATACATACTGCAAGTATCTTAATTGTGATGGCATGGGATTCACGGGGTACAGTAAGTGCAAAAGCTCACGAGGAGCTTGCCTGTACACCATATCCAAGGTCTTAAGCTCCCCACTGTAATGCTTTCGATAGATCAACAATGCAGCCAACATGAAAGCCAAAACTGCCCAACCACCATGTTCACAATGCATGAGAAGAAGATTCTGTAGCCCAAGCGAAAGCCAGCTTTCACTAGATCTTAGAAAATGGTGGATCACCTCCATCGGCAGCAATGGGCAACCTTCATACTGCCGAGGGTACTCCATTATTGTCATATCATAATCTGACAATGCATTTGCAATCTGGCTCTGAACCTCTCCCTCACGAAAATTGAATGCCAGGATTGAAGCATCGGGATAATGCTCCTTGAGCTGGGTGATAATGCCTCCCACATAGCCTTTGTAATCTTGGTCCGCAACGGTGTCAGTAGTGAAACAACTATCAAATACTGTAAAGTTAGAGCAAATGCAATAGGTTATCATCAGGCTACAGCTATATTTTAGACATTCCTAAATTATTGACATTTATGGCCAAATCGAATGACATAACTCAAAAAATGAAGAGCAATTTCAGCAGCTGTTTCAATGTTATGCAAAACACACTTCTACGAGAGATGAGATGCCATTTTGTATTTCTCAATAAAAATAGACTGCTTAACGCTACTATATGATTAATTTCTGCAGCTAACCAAATCCTAATGGTACTTCTGACAATTCCCCAACCTTCACTCCTGTAACTTGAAGTTGTAAATCACATTTAGGCTTTGAACTCACCATGAAACTTGACACTTAGAACTTACTATACTTTAGTTAGCATTTACATAAATCATATACAACTAGCAAAGAATCAAATAAGTTCTCTAGTCCCTTATTTGGTTCTTGATGGTAATGTGTCAAATAGCATAACGTGGGGACATTATCTCATACTTACTAGAATTGGTAGCTGAAACTAAGTTTCCAGACAGCATCATTTTCAAATTCACTACCCAATTATGAACCAAAGATATGCAGTTGTTTATCTACTTGGTAAGCTGCACCATATCTACGCAAATATACACAAAAAAAGTGCAAACAAATAGAGCAACATAGAACAACTTAACCTCCACTCTTTGTACATAACCTTCTCCCAACTTATGGTATTTCATATTTACGCAACTGGACAACTCTGAGAAACTGTATTATACGTTTCATCAGCCGACTCCTAAATCATTCATTTTATTCATCCGCCTCCCCAGAAATATTCGACAGTAATGAATGGAAAACTGACTCAAATTTTGAGCATAAATTATACTTCTCCTAGGGCAAAACCTCAAACAAAATTCTCTCCATCTTCTCAACACAAGAATTTATTCTCCCACAGCACAATTACCAAGTCCGAGCTGAACATATAGACATTTCTAAGAACACGCATCTTCTTCCAAGATTATTCACTCAATTGAACAAAAGGGGTCAAGCCTCAATCACCCAAAACAACATCACCACAAACTAGTTTTACACAGTCCAAACAAAAGAAAAACCAGATAACAGCAGCTTCATCAAATACGAAAAATTAAAAATGAATTCAACGAGCGCACCGTAAACTCGCTCGCAGATCTCGAGAAGCCCATCCGGCGGCTTGCGGTAGAACAGCTTCCGAAACAACGCCATTGCAGGAACACACTACAGAATATCTGGTGTACACACGCATGAATTCAAATCCCAAATCAGTGGAAAATCGGTTTGAAAATTCAGCAAAAATACCATCAAAAACTTTGCGAGGTTTTTAATTAATGTTGAAGACGAAGATGGGCAGCTGAAGAAATCGATCAAACTACCGACTCCACCGAGGAGCCACGTATGCGCGGGGAAACGATGACGTGTCGTCACAGACACGAGGGGTGGGAATCTGGTGCTTTTGATGTACCGTGCAACTGGTTCTCCTGAGGCTTTGATTGGTCAATGGGTTATGACTGACACGAGATTGGAAGGTACGAGGTAGGGCCTAGCTAGAAATTACTATTGCCTCTGTATTGCACGGGCCATCTAACAGTAAATTGTAGTGGATTTCAAGCACAGAGCCCATAGCCCATAGTACAGTAGCTTTTGCCCTGAAAAGCCCATATCAAAATTACGGAGTCCTCCAAAGCCCAACACAACTACAACTGTGCGCCGCTATTTCATACAACGTCGTCCCCTCCTCTTCACACCTCGGTGCACCAAACTCTCCGGGCAACCTTTTATCTTCTTCGTCTCGCTTCGAGCCCTTTTTTCTCTCAAAGACGCCATATTTTCTTCTCTCTGCAACCATGAAGCCAAGAACACCTCGCAATTTCCAGATCTTCGTGCAGTCCCCAGATCTCCAAATCCCCTCCCGCGCCCTGATTTTCCAAAATCCAAACCCTAATCTCACCCTCCGCCACATCAAATCATCCCTTTTCCCTTCAAATCCGATCCCCCACGGGTCGCTTTTCTTCACCCTGAATGGCAAACCGCTTCCCGATTCCACTCCCGTCCATTCCGCAGTCGCCCCTCTCTCCACCCTCACCCTCCACGCCCGCCTCCGCGGCGGCGGCGGAGATGGCGGCGCCACGGGCGCGGAGTCCCGCGACTGCTACCTGAACATGTACGCCGTGAAGAAGCCCGACAAGGTCGACCCGAACGAGATGCGCCTCTCCAAGTGGCTCAACTGCAGCTTGTCCAACGAGCCTCTGAGGCACCCTGTCGTCCTCGATAAGCTCGGGAATCTCTTCAACAAAGAGGCTCTGGTCGAGGCCTTGCTGAAGAAGAATTTGCCTAAGGAGTTTTGGTACATCAAGGGCCTGAAAGATATGATCCCCGTCGAGCTGGCCGAGATCTCAGGAGCTAAGGGAATTGGGACAATCAAATTCCAGTGCCCGATTACGGGTCTTGAGTTTAACGGTAAGTATAAATTCTACGCCATCAAAAGCTGTGGGCACGTGCTGAGCGCAAAGGGTTTCAAGGAGGTGAAGTCCTCGTCTTGCTTGATCTGTCACAAGGAGTTTGTTGAGAGTGATAAGATTGTCATTAATGGGACAGAAGAGGAGGTTAAGGAGCTTTGGGAAAAACTGAAGGAGGAAAAGGCCAAAGCTAAAGATAATGGGAAAAAAGTGAAGAAGCTCAAGAATGGAGAAGATACTGGGAGGTTGACTGGATTGAAACACGGTATTGAGGGTAACGGGAAAAACGGCGACACAAAAGGCTCCGCAAAGAAGTTTAAGGCGATGGATACAGTTCCAGCTAACGCCACCAAATCCGTTTATGCTTCCATTTTTACTTCGTCGAAAAAGTCGGACTTCAAGGAGACATACTCTTGCAGGTCTTTGCCTTTAGGTCGAAACTGATAATCTGGTGCGTGTGAAGTTGTTGCTATGCTTGTTGTTGTATATTTATGGAATTGTGGCTGATAGAGTGGTTGATTTCTCTGTAATTGGTATATGAATGAATTCTTGAATGTGCTTCTTTGAGTGACACTGATAAATTTTATGCTGGTTTTGACTTTTGATGGAACTGCTTTCTTCTAATTTATTTTATTTGTGTCCTCGTTTCTTGTATTAATCTCATTGGTGCTACTACAATTCGATGGAGCAAACATTCATGTGATCTTGGAAAGGACTGCAGCGAAGTGTTGCCTCTCCTATCAAGAAATATTGGAACCTGTTTTGAGTTTCATTGTAGATCGTGTGTATGTTAATTTTCCAACTATAACAATAAATGGGTTTATATCTGTAGCTGCTGTAGAACTTGGCTAATGTCTGTATGTTTTCAGACTCTCATATGCCTGTCTTGGCTCATAGACCGTGACTTGTGTTAAAGTTTGCGATTGATACAAACAGTTTGATCCTATTCTCTTTACCAATTAATGTGTGTGGTCCATCCTGAAATAATAAATATTACACTTTTGTGGTAGGGATTGATAACTTGTTAATCTGAGAATATTATAATTGAATGTTGTATCCTGTTGTATGGCTTAGTGGTATTAGTTAAGCTGATGAACAGATCAAAAGATTTTAGATTAGCCATTGAGAGCTGAGGCCAGATATGCAGTTGGATGGTCATTGAGATACTGAACAACCAACCATTGGAATGATTATTGAGCAATTATGATTGGAAAGTTGTTAGCCCTGTTTGATAATTCAACCACACATCGATTCTCGAAGATGTATGTCTGAGTAGGGTTCATCATGAATCATTTACATTTGTACAAAAATGAGTTTCACCAAGATTCCATAATCAAATCGCATATTTCACCAAGTCAAGTCTTTAGAACTCAATACTCTAATCCCAATGTTGTAGTGCATGCATTAAGTTTACAAAATTGTTTCCAAACAAATCGATGACAGCTGCACTTGGATTCAAGGTCAGACAAAGCCAAAATCTTACACCAAATTCATGAGAAATAACCCCAAAAACATCACATATACAGTTCGCCACGAATCACCCATCATTATCCAGTCCAACTGAGAGGAGCTTCATGCAGCCAACCATTTAAGCATACAAAATAATATGACACATTGGTATTATCAGACCATGCTCATGAAAGCCAAGTCGTCAGAAGCCAACAAATATGTCGAGGCCTTGGTTGGCTAACAGCACGATTTTTCAGCCAAAGATTGATGTATTTTTGAAAATTGATATCCAGATGAATGAGTGTCAACTGTCAACCTAATCTTGCTTCTCGTTGAAGTACCTGAATACACCAACAACAACAACATACCCAGTATATTCCCAACAGGTAAGTACCTGAATACACCATCAGCAAAAATTAGTTTTTTTTTTATTTTTTGAACAAAGAACCTTCTTGAATATGGTTTGCATATTACAAAGAAGTCGATGATACTTTCTTTGCCAAAATAGTAGAAAAAGTAGGGTACACAGACTACCTTAATGTGTAAATTTTAGTAACTTGCACAACAACGACAGGTAGAAAAGGAAACTAAAATTATGCATATATTAATATAGGTAGGGTTTAAGCAAAAAATCATTAACAGTATGTTTTCAGCATGTTTAGGCAGAGAACCACAAACATTGAAATGGTATGCTGCCTTCGATAGAAACTAAAGGCCGTCGATCAAATAATCCAAGTAAGAAGAGCTCAGCAAGCCCCAAGCATTAGACTACTTACTTCCAGAACAAAGAGATTTCCCTTTCTTCTATATATACATTTATTTAAACTTATCAGATCTCATTTCAAATTTCTGAGGTTTATATAGTGACGAAGATAGCTTTTTTTTTTGAAGAAATATGATCACATCCTGGCGCCGAAATAAATTATTTATTCACAAAGTATTTATTTCTATTATTTATCGCTTGTATTGATAGGATAATATCTATCTTTTAGTATTAAACTTGGTCATCAAGTTAAGAGTTCTGAGGTCTTAGTAGTCTATATTTATGCTGTGAAACTGAATGTGTCGGGCAGTGAAGAATAATAAGAATTTTTATCTGTTGAGCTTTATCTTTGTTCCCTCTTTCGTACGTTGCGCTACATCATTAGTTTTAAGCTGTCCCTCTTCATTAGTTATTGAGCAAAGATATGGAATGCACGAAGAGATATTTTCTTATACCAGAATGCAAGATCTTATCCCTTAATTCATCACATAGAAAAAGAGTATAGTAATCATTTGTTCTTCATCTGTATTCCCCAAGTCAGTGTCAGGGACTGGTAGAATGGTAATTCCGCCTATTGCCTAACCAAGTGAGTAGTAAATAAAATGTCAAATTTTAGGCGCCAGTTCTAGAGTTGTGAAAAACTATTTAAGCAATAAAATCAATGAACTTATCTGGAACTCCTAGAGAAACTGCTTGTTCTCAAAGTTAGCAAGCAAACAGTGTAACTTTAAACCACTATCTGGTGCAGAAACTTAACTCATTACCTACTCATGAGATACAATTACAGGCAAATTGAGTAACTTTATTGTCTTGATCACTAAAGTCTTTAATAATCTACATTCTCAGTTAGTAATCTCTGCCTTGTTTTCCTTTAGTTGGTGTTGGTCATCCGTAATCTCAGGTCATTCTCAGTTAGTTAATTTATCACTATCTTAGATGTTCTTATTACATTCAAGAAGATCAACTCTGCATGCAACTTCTAGTCGATTTCCTGTTACTGAATGTCATGCTTGGTTCAGAAGATAAGAGAAAATGGCTCTAACTTTATGCAGTAGTATGAAAAATATAGAGGCTAAATATCTGTATAGTTCAAGATCAAGGCATCCCTGTTCATAAAGTTATGGACTAAATATTCTTCATGTTAAACTAATCCAGCAAGCAGGAAGACTGCAAACTCGAAGCTGCATTCAGAAACCTCAGAGTGGTATAAGAATAAGTCAAGAACAACTACATAAACCAACATAATAATCACCGATCACCATAAGTCTTCTCAAAACCTAAGGATTTAAAGCTATAGAAGCAGTCAAATAAGCAGCGTGCTTTTATTATTATAAACATAATTAGAGCAACAAGCAATAGGATAAGCAACGTGCTTTTCTGGTTATAATTGTAACAACGCGCAGATTGCTGCCAGATTTAAAATATTTTCCATCACATTACGTAAGTAAAAATTTAAACCATATCCACTAAACGAAAATGTAATCTTGAATAAGAGATGGTTAAGTATTAGGAGATTCAACTGCATCTCTACCTTTCCAAACAAGACCTTCCACACTGTGCTGTGTATAAAAGACAAAATACCCAATAGCCTTGTCTCCCTTCTGTTGCCCTGTAGAATATTACACAGGTTATATAAGAAAATGTACTAATGCATTCCATGATTCTGATCCACTATTTACGAAAATATAAACAAACACTTAGCATCATTTCATTTGAGAAATCAGAACACAATTGCAGGTGAGACAATGAAGAAGCTCATCAACATATCACGACTATGATAAGAGGGTTAAAGTTCCAGTTTAATTCCTAGAGGTGATAAGAGGGTTAAAGTTCCACTTGACCAACAAAAGGTGGCCGAACTTGAAGCTCGACAAAATTTGACCAATAGAGTCATCTCCACCACCTTTGATTGCAAACAATCCCCGGTCGACTCAGCGTAATCACCCACCACACGTACCCTCTGGCTCAGGTGACTACTAAAACACAAGACACTAATAAGGAAAACGATCGTATTTTAATTTTTTTTTATTATTTTATTTTATTTTTTTGCATTTTTTAGGGTACGACATGGACCTCAAGTACAAAATCCTGAATGCAACTGTTCTTGACGAGGGGGCTCAAGTGTTTAGGCAAATGCGCGAACTCATCCGACAAACGTCTTAACTTGCTAGACAATCCCGGTGACGTTTACCTATTTTATACAAAAGAAATAAAGTATCTAAAAAATAAGAATACGCTTATGCAACCATTTCCATGCTCACCTCCTTAATTTTTTAGGAAATGGTCCCATGTGGCCATGCGCAAAAAATATGTTCTCAATTCTTGTTGCACCTTCACCGTGTGAATGACCACTCCTATAATTGTGCCACCATCATAGATATATGTCATTTATTCAAATTGAATGAAACATGAGTTAGAAATATAATTCTGGAACAAATTATCTTATTTTATTTTATTTTTTATTATTGACTTTCACATAATGTTAAGAAACTAACTTACAGAGCCAACAGCCAATGTGACAACTCCATGTAAGGCTGTCCCACGTCGGAGCCATGTGGGACAGCCCTACATGGAGCTGTCCCACTGGTTGTTGGCCTCCGTAACGAGCCAACAGTTGGTTCCTTAATATTACTGTTGACTTTCAATAATCAAAATATTAATGACTAAGATTATTTCAACAAGGGATATGAGTAGTGGAATTTATTTCTTAAAGTCCTAATAGGATTGGTGTCTCTCATAACAAATGGATAAGATAAAGTACCAAAAAACTCTGTGTGTTAAAATAACATGTGAAAATGAAAAATAATATTACCCACCTTATTTTTTTTTTCTTTAGATTAAAAAAATATTTTTTTCAGCCATAGAAATTTCAACATTAAGAAGTTTCAGTTCAAGTGGTTCTAGATAACAAGATATGCTTGAGAATAATGGACACAATCTCGAAAGTTTGTGAAAGAACCAAATCTACGAAATTTTGTAGAGGGATCGTGGAAATTTTGTAGAGGGTTTTAGAGAGCTGATAAAGAATGAGGAACAAATTGGAAGAAATGAACCGCAGCAATAGTTTTGATTTTCTTTTTTTTCAAATTTTTCCCCAAATTGGTGTGTATTAATATAAAACTACTCCATTTTTCAATTCTCATGTCATAATAAATTTTTTTATTTGTAAGTTTTTATAGTTATGACGATTGATGCTATTCATTCTACTACTTCTTTTCATAAATTATAATTT